AAAAAGCGCGCCCAAAAACAAAAGAAATGAAAGGCAGGGCTACCGCGCCATGCGCAAATGAAATAAACTTCCGCTCCCGCGTATGTGATAATGGCTCGTGCGATTTGGGCTCCACTAGTCGCCCCCTCTACACCCTGCTTCCCATTCTCCGTCTGCCTCCGAACCAATCTTTCTCTCGAATCTCCGGGCTTCCCTCGGTTCACCTCAATTGCAACGACTCGGCTCATCACCTACTCGAGTGCGTTCAGGGCTTCACAAGCAGGCAAATTAAGGTTTCTTGTTCGAAGAAGACGAAAGAAATTCTTGTAAGCACACTTGAATCCATCTTCCAATCGTTTCTTTGCATTGTAGTTTCGATCTCTTTTTGTTCCTCTAACATAGATGACTTATTATACCGAAGAACTTGAGATATAATGTTTTTAATCTTATTATGCTCAACAGTCGTCTCAATGCCGCAGTTTAATTTTTCTTAGATGCTTTAATTGACACAACTACTTTGTTTGGTATTTGACAACATATATCAGGAATATAAAGAAAACGTTGTTCAGATTTCAAATTTTCTTTGCTGGAAAATTTCACTGAATGGGGCCTCAATTTAGTTTTCTGGTTAATGCTATCAGATATAAAAAAAAATGGTCGTACTCCCTAAGTCTCTATTTTTTTTCCTATGTTTTTTTTCCAATGGAGCAGAGTGTAAGATGACTATGAGGCATTGCTCAATATTTTTGATGTTCAAGTAGCTTGCATCATACAAAGCCATTGTTTCCGTATCTCTGTTGAGCACAATTTCTTGTGATAGAGCACAGATTATTCTGATGCTGAGGCGTTGAATAGGATATCACTATCACCATGAATTAATGTCACATTGTCACCCCTGTAAGCAGTTAAATTTATTTTGGGATTATAGGGGTGATTTTTCTTATTTATTTAATTTTACCTGGGCTTGTTTGGCCTTACGAGCATTCTCCTTTCGACTTTGAACTAGGGAAAACATCTTAAACCCAAGAGATAGTGTTATATTCTTCGTATATCTTCTTGAGATAGTGTTATATTCTTCTTATATCTTCTTGCTATTTCCATTAATTGATCAAAGTGCCTGGAAAAAGGAAGTGCGATAGTGGCAGATAATTCAAAAGAGAAGAACTGGCAAACCTTCCATGTCCTCATCTTTTCCTGTGGTCTGTTATTCTTGTAGTATTAATCTATTTTGTCGAGGGTGTCGATAGTTGAAAGCCTGAAGAGTGGGATTTGTTTGTTAATTATAGCTTCCTCTGGCTATTACACCAAAACCTGAAAAGTGGAATATGTTTGTCAATTTTCTCCTTCTGGCTTTTGTACGATTTGCCTGATGTCATGGTGTCGCAAATGCCCATAAGAAGTTTATTTGCATATACATTTTATTTATTTATTTGATAAGTAACAGATTTTATTAATAATAGGAATATTTGCGGATACATTTGGTCAGCACGGTCTACTCTTGTATGTTAGTTAGCATGTTATGTAGTTGTCTTGGCTGTGTTTATACTTTCTCTCAAATATATCCCAAAGCCTGGAATGTAGCTTTCCACTTTTCCTTATTCCAAGTTGGTGTGTTGAATTTTGTAATGTGCTATTGCATATCACTATTGATTCAGGTATTATACCTGACAATGAGACTGATTAATCATCTGAAGGATAGGGGTTTACAGGTTCACGTACTTTTGGCTAGTATGCTCATGTATAATATCTCTGACATCAAAGCAGTACAGGTCAAATTCTTAAAGGCTAGTGTAGAGCTTTATAGAATAAGATCTGTCTTGCAATAGCAAAAGCTGTATCCATGGGGAACAGAACCCTTATGATGGCAAGAACTTCTACATTTTATCTGTAAGAAAACGTCTACACTCGTGCTCCTACATTAAGTGTATATCATCTAGCATATTATGGTTTGGAAATTGTGGCAACTTCTCAGACAGTTCTTTGATACCCCTGGCTGAGTTCAGCAGGAACCATTACTGTTCTGAACTTGGTTGTTTGATGGCTTGCCAATTTGCAAACAATTTATTGGAGGTGTGGTGGTTTTTGCAATTCTCCATAAGTCTGCCAGCAAAAGGGTTCATACAAGTGGTTCTTTTCCTGTATTGGTGTTAGATTTATGGTGTTTAATGTTACACCTGTGCATGGCAAGCTGTCGCTGCATGCAAAGTGAACAGGTTTCAGTGTATAGGTTCCTCTTATATTTTGATAGGATATGCCCGACACAGCCACAGCTGAAGTCTTGTTCTGGCATTTGCTCCCATCACAGTAGAACTGATCAATCATGATAGGGATTTCAACTTCTGAAACTTGAATGTTGGAGAACATGACTCCTTGCACTAACCCTGAGCCACCCTGCAGTTGAAAGAAATGAGATTCAGAAATATGGTTCAAATATAGCAGGAAAATCCTGAGTGAGCGAACTTGAGTAAGTTGGTTTAATATTTTGGTTCACGTAGGGTAGTGGTTTATTACCTGCCATGTCTTTATTCTTACACCAGTCAATGTATTGTGCATTGTGGTGTCTCGGATGGTGACGTTTGAGACGCAGGCCCTGGTGTTTCCCCTTCCTAGCCCTCCAATGCTGATCCCATGCCCAGGTCCACAATTCATGTTGTGAATAAATATGCCAGAGCACCCAGTTTGTATGGAGACACAATCATCTCCTGTAGAATAAAGCAAGGCATATGATAATATGTCAGTAACTCTTTGTTTGATGTGGCTTTGTTCCTTGCACTTTTGATCAGTCTGACCTTATACTAAATTTGCTAGTGTTTCTAAGAAGTTGAATAGCCATGTGCAGTTGCAGAGGAGTGACAACAGGGGAAGCAGTTTTGGTTGTAAAAGGCACAGGAATTTGCGGCCTTATATCAAGGGGTCTAACTCTTTGTAAGGGCCGATGAAACCATGGCAAAATAGCCTAAACTTGTCCAAAAATAACTGTCTTTCCAATTGGGTATTTTGACCATCTATCATAACTGTCTTTCTCTTCTACTTTCTCTATATTCTCTACATCTGAAATAATGAACAACATATTCAGTCATTTCTTTTTTTCAGAAAAGTATCAAATTCTGCACACTTGTTGTGTCACGTGTGCCAAGGATTCTAGTATCTAGTCATCATCTGTCAAATGCTAAGTATGCAGTTGGTTTACACAAATGGAAGGAGGGATGGATTGGAATTACCGCAAGCAACATTAGTGTTGTGGATTACCACATCTTGGGAGTTCTGAAGGTGGATTCCATCGGTGTTAGGACTGTCACTTGGGGATGAAACTGTCATGCCAAAAACCTGAACAGCTGTGCAGTCGTCGAACTTGAGATGAGTCTGAGGACTGTTTTGAATTGTTATGCCAGTCACTGTCACGTCAGAACTCCCATAGAACCTGATTGCCTGCATACCAAGGTAAAATTCCCTTAAAATCCTTTATTTTTAGTGTCAGATTCTGAAATACAGTGTGGGATCTCTATACGAGTACTTACTGTTGGCTTGGTGCTGGGCATTTTCCCTGTGGCCTCACTACTTACCTGCCAGACATGAATGCCATTTAACCGCATAATTAGTTTGTTATATATTCTGATAAGTGGCAAATTATCAAAGACTGATGAGTCGAAGAAATAGATGTGGCCTGGTTAGGCTTAAAAAGGATGTGGCAGTTACCAGAGCGGCGAGCTCTCATAAGTTGAATCTTTGAGTGGAGAGACTGATTCTGATTCTTCTGTTGGATTTTCTGTGGATGAGTCACTCCACCAGACTGAGCCTTGCCCGTCAATAACACCTTTGCCCTTGACTGTAATCCCTGTAAGCTTCGTAAATTCGAGCCATTGAAGTAGACCCGAACCCCAAGCCCCAGGGCTTGTAGGAGCAATAATTTTGCCATCCACCTGCAGAAAGAGAGAGAATCAATTAGTCACATATATTCAAATACTAATCTGTCTACTGAACTTCAAGAATAACATGTCTGCCAAAAGCTTGAATATAGGGGTTGTTACTGGTGAGTTGATGATTTGAAATTCACCTGAAATATGATGTTTGATCCACAGTTGGGTCCTGAGAAAGAGATGGGCTTGACTAGGTAGACAGACCCTGATGGAACCACCATTGTTGATGCCTCCACTTTGCAAGCAGATGCCCATGCTGCTTCAAATGCCTGCCAAGGATTGCAGGTTGTATCATGTTAAGCAGAGTAGATTCATGGGTCTCGACAAATGGGGAGGCTAGCAAATTATGTCTTAGGAAACATTTTTTAAAAAACCGAGAACCGTCTAAATCATGCCTAAACTTAGGATGTGTGCACTCACTCATAAATCATGTGCATTAGATAAACTATAACGTTATTTGTAAGACGTGAACTTGAGACTGTAGAATATTAACAACTGAAATCCTCTTATCCAAACCACTTACTAGACAGTTCAAGATTAGTTTTACTAGAATCTCAAAAATCTTCGGGGACTATTACCACTTGAATTATTTCTCGGGGTTAATTCATGGTTTCTAAACACCACTATTTTGAGCAGAATCTGAAGAAAGCTCAAAGCTACCTTTGTGTCATCCGTAGTTCCATCACCTTTAGCACCATAGTCTATTACATTAAAAGTAGTAGTTGAAGCCTTTCCTTGTGCAGTGAAACTCTCTTCCATCAACCTTGTTGGATATTGGCTATCGGCATCATTATCACCTTTCTTATTTGAAAGGGATGGTGGAATTGCTTTGCTTCCTCTCCAGTGCTTGACTATTCTACCACCGCAAGTTTCATTTCCTGAAGACCAGACAAGCAATGCAACCAGAATGAAGAATGTAGGACTCCTCATATTAAGCGTTCTCATATTTTGATGAGAGAGAGAGAGAGAGACTTTTATTGGCGAGAGAGTTGGGCTTATATTGGCGAAAGCAGTCGGAGGTCATATCACTGTGCAGGCACATGCTTCACAGTTTTGCTCTTTTTTTTTTTTTTCCTTTTTTTGTTTGGCTGAATATTGACCTTTATTTTATTTAAGTATTACCAGTTATTTGGGAATTAACCATACAACCTCCTAACACGGGCATGTAGTACTTGTGCAAGAATGCATAAATTTTATATGTTATTACTCCACTAAGAGCATTTCCAACAAGGTTTTATATTTTATCTATCCAAAAGTATATATTTTGTATTTTAGTTATTCATTTTTTCAATATATACTTTGATAGATTTTCTATAATTTAATTATTATTTTTAAATATTATTTTATACATTTTGTACCTTTGTTAGGATTGTTAGAGAGAGAAAGATAGAGAGTAGATAAGAGATGTGGGAAATGACAGAAGAAGAGAGAAAAAATTATAAAGTATTTATACAAGTTGTTATAGTAATGTTCTATATTTAGAGTATTACTGTAGCAAAAAGTCATTTTAGAGCATATGAACATATTCTGTTGAAGTATGTTTTTGTCTTTTAGTTAGCTAAATTTTAGTTATTTTGTGACAAGACATTATTAATTGACTTAATTAAGTACTTAAGCTTGCCTTATCAATATGACAACACGTATGAAATTACTACATCAGCCTTGTAGCTCCCTTAACACATTAGTAATTGATTTTGGGTTGAATATTTTTATATGGTGTTTAAAGAATTTATGAATTTAAATCTCTAACATATAGGCGATTATAGTATTTTATTTGTGTTAATCCTTTTGTACATAATTTTTGTTTGTAAATTAAGTATCGCGGGTTTGTTTAAAGAACAAAAATAAAAATAAAAAATATATCTTGTATCGTATAACTTAAGAATATATTGACTAGCACGTATGTATATGTGCTAGATGTGGAGTAGCACGTATTTGAATAATTAGCCAAATAGATAAGAAGGGTCGTGCAACGTCATGCAAATGTCATCAAATATATAAGTAATAATTCTGGAAATCATGGAGCTCAATACTCGGCTGTGATTAGCTCTATTCCACCAGCACTTTGTCACATGACTTGGATATTTCTGAGAGTTTTCTACACGTCAGGATGTTTTTGATGCTAAAGATAGGAGAAATATTCATGCACTTAATGACCAAGAAATACAGCAAAGTTTTCATGAAAAAGCCATTGAAGACGGCAAGGGACAAGCTAAAATCTTTGACAATTGAGAGAGAGAGAGAAGAGAATGGCTGTGGAAAATGGATAGCCCTGTAGTGGAATCGACCCTTCTTGATCATGTGGAGAGTTTCAGTTAACATGTGAATGTCATTTTCGTTGTTTGTTAGTGAAAAAACAACCGTTAAATTAGTTATCCAGATATCGCGCCATGGCTTTTGGGATTGGGCTTATGTACACTAAAATATTACTTGATTTCTTCTAATTCGAAAACCCGCGCAGCACTACCGGGTGGGGGTGGTCTAGTATCAGCCAAACTTTTTACCGTGATGTTAGGAAATTTGAGTATTTGAATTCATATTAAAGTTCAATAGTTAACTGTTATGCTAGTTTAGTTAGACTTGTTTTTTAGAAGAGTAACAGACAGATGCTTTATCATATATACATATATTATATTTATCAATTACATATTATGTATACATTAATTTTATATGTAGATATAATGGTAAAATATGTATTTATATTTTTTTTAAAAAAAATTAAAAAATTAAAAATTACTTTTTCTATGTTACCAAACACAAAAAAGAAAAAATAAATCTTTTCTATTTTCCATCGCTCTTACCAAACATAAAGTAGGGTAGTAAGGGTTCCTCTCTTGAAGAATATAAAATTTATCACTCCCATAATTCATTTTTTCTACCAAATGGACCAAAAGTATTAATGCTGTGAATCGGTATATATCCTCTGGGAGCACGCACTGCGTGGTAATCGGTAAATATCTCTAACTCCTTACCCTGAATGGTAGAGAGGTTATTGACTAATTATCTTGATATGTTGGGTATCCTCAATTGAGAGACCCACATTTGAATGATAAAGTTGTGACCCATTGAATCTTGTTTTGAATCTTACCAAAACTTAGTTTGTTAGATGAAAAATCGTCTAAGATTTTATGACCACAGCACATATAATACCCTTTATCCAACTGACCAGGACATAATAGATTGAATTGACTGAAATAAAAGTAAAAATTTTTATTCAAATCACTAAATACTTCACATTGGAAATGTTTTGAGAGAACATTCGGAAACCAATGGGATTAACAACACCCTTATGAAACTCACATGCACAAAATAAGGAAGCGCGCGTCAAAAGGATATTATCAAAAAATCTATTTATAAAGTCTTTCTAAGGGATACCTAATAAAGTCATCTAGCATTGTTAATAAGTTTTAGAATGGAGATGATTAAAATTAGGGACTTTTGGAAGTTAGTACACGAAATTGGACTTAATTGCTAAAAGTTATATAGAAAAAAAAATGTTTTGTCCCTTTAAAAAAATGTTGAAGAGACTGTGGCAGTGGCGAGGCCGAACACAATTTTCTGTCCCTTTAATGCTAAATGCTACAAACTACAAAGACTGATGTTCATAGCAATCCAAAGTCGCTTGGATAATTGAAGAAAACAATAACGAAATGTGGTGCCCTAATATTCTGATGAAGTCTAAGCATATCTTCTTCTTTTTTGGGGAAGTCCATGCATATCTTCACGGTTTGATTGGGCATCATTCCTTTCCTGCACATTGCACACTGAACTGTTTTTGACCTCATTTACCTCCGAACCATTCATTGGTTCGACAAATGTGGTGTCCCCAAATGGTGATGTAGATCCAAGCATATCTTCAATGATTGATTGCTCATTCTTTTCTTCATGCTCATCATCATTCTTCTCTTCATGCTCATAGTATATAGGATTGATTTTGAACTCTTTTACCTCCGAAGCACGTATTTCAATCCGAAAATTTAATTCATCACCAGGTTCGAACTCACTAAACTGTTTCCACCGATTCAACTCTTTGAGCTTCCAATGACTTAACCAGATGATATATTCGTTTGGTTCTGGAATTCCAGTAAACATTGGATAGTAGTGACAAATCTTCTTGCGCCTATTATAGACTTCAATTTTAATACTTCCTGCACCGAACCAATCATATTTTTTTACCCCGTACACACAACTCATGTTGAATCCGTGAATCTTACGATTTTGAATTAAATGGACACTCATACGTGCTGTGGATGGTTCATCCGAATTGCTGGAACAGCCCGAAGCTTTATCCAAATTGCTGGAGCAGCCCGAAGCTTTCCCCCAGGGAAGAAATATGTTGTATATGCCGTTTTCCAACAATACCTGTGCCATAAAGTTACAATTTTACCCCGTTCAAACTCTGCAATGCCTTCATGTGGTTTCACCCGGAACACTTTTCTTCCTTATACTTTAAAGGGCACCTCTTAAATCTCATTTTTTACCTCATTTAATCATTTTATTTTAAACTATTAAGTTCATCTTATCTATACTCACTCTTTTAGTTATTAAACTCACCCCATTTATATTCACTAATTAAAAATTAAATTTATTCAATTTTATTTCAATCAACTATATAGACAATTATCAAAATTTTATTTTGGTGTATTATTTCGGTCTGAAAATATTTCAGAAGTAGAATAAAAATTATTAAAAATTTAATAATTATTTTTAAAATATTAGTCAAAATATCTTAAAACACCTCAAAATATTCCAACGACATTGGTGAAAATATCTCAAAACACTTCGAAATAATATAGATGATCTCAGAAAATTAAAATTTTACTACAATTATTATTTTTCTTTCGATTTTTTGATATATATTTAATCGTTTAATTAAATGAGTATAAATAAGATGAATTTAGTAACTATTGTGGTATGTATAGATAGAGTGAATTTAGTAGTTTGAAGTAAGAGAATTAAATGGATTGAAAAACGAGATTTAAAGGGTGAAAATAACCCCACTCTACTTTAAAAATCTGAAAATGTAACAACTAAATTTTCCTAGTGTGGCTTTTTCATAAAAAAAATTATAGAAATTGAAATATCTACTTAATGCATAGAAATGGAAGATAGAGAAAGATTAGGTTTATTTTAGAGGGAGAAAGAAAGAAGAAGAAATAACATTCATAAAAGGATATAAAGGTAATGAGTTACTAGGTCAAACTATACGAAGGTAATATATAATTTGCCCTTTTTTTACCCAGACTGTTAATCATGATTGGGAAGAAAACTATTGCATTAGCACCCAAGATGTCAAAAGAGTGAGAGAGAGAGAGAGATAGAGAGAGCACCTGGATGGGGAGCTTCTTTGCCATGTCCGTGCATCGACCGTACAAGAAAACCTCGGCGCTTTTGATGGATTCTATATTGGACAACCCCAAGTTGTTGATAATTTCTGTGTCAGTTTTTGAGACGGGTTCTAACTTAAAGTAACCTTGGAATTCTATTAGATTCACACAATTCAGGGGAAGGATAAGTCTTGTGTTGGCCAATGATGATGATGCATATGTTATTTTTTCCAACAATGGGCAATTTTTAGTGTCTACCATCTCCTTTATATGGGGTAGATCCACCAGAGTTTTCAGACTTGTACAGGAACTTACATGGAACCATTCCAAACTGTCAACACCTTTGACGCAATCTGGTAGGCTACAAATCGGATTATCACTTATATCTAGCACCTTCAACGAGGGTAGGCTACTAAAATCTTTTGGAAAATCATTGTTAGTTAGGTTGCTTCCTGCAACACGTAGTGTTACTAATGACTGTGGCAAAACAGCCGAAACAATCTTCGAGAGTTCTAGACGAGTTCTTCGTCTCGATCTTCCAAACAACACCAATGGATGCCACCACCTATTCACTTCATTAGTAGAAGGTAAGAGGCTGAGGTTGATTTCATTAGCTTCAAATGTTTTAAGCGACTTTATCTCTTTTAGTTCTGATGGCAACTCTTTAAGATTTGAGCAACCAGAAATATTTAATTTTTCGAGAGAGCTAAGCTTGCCAATGTTTGTTGGAAGATTCTCTAGACTCCTGCAATCTTTCATATTCAAGAGAATAAGTTTCTGAAGGTTGCCAATTGATTCATGAACCTCAACCAAACTTATACAACCTTTTAGGATCAATCTCTCAAGACTTGAGGGGCCATAAAACATTGGAGTTTTTTTAAGGCCATCACAGTGTCGAAGATCAAGAATTTTTAAAGACCCAATACACTGAAAAAAATTGAGGAAGCTAACATCAGAGACATAAAAAAAAAAATAGGAACAACAACAATATATATATATATATATATATATATATATATTTCATAACAATATATACATACCTTGGCTCCCTTCCATAACCGCTTCAAGCTACTATTGCTCATGTCAATGACAACTAGATTCTCCATAGGAAAATCATTTGGGAAAGATTTCAACGAAAATCCATGCCAACTCAGCCATCTTATGTTGTTTGGAAATTCTTTATAGCCTCCAACAAGTCGGACATAGTTAATCTCTAGTAGTCTCAATTCTTGCATACATCGGAATGCATTGGTTTCCAAGCTTCCATCATACCGATTGTTGGAATTAGAGATTTCCATGGCATGCATATCTTCCGCAAGCATATTCATATTGAGAGCAAGTCCTCTGATTGTCACAGTGCCCTAATAGCAAAAACAATAAGGATAAGAGACAATGAATAACAATATATGGAACCACACGCACATACACATACAAGAAATAATTTTCTTACAATTTTTTCTTTCAATACTTTGAAAGAATTCCTGTGATCCCACATTCTACTACGCTCGCCAAGTTTATCAGGTGACAACTGGCGAATAATTTCTCTTCCCATACGCTGAATCAATGTATGCATCATCAACTTGTTACTATCTATTTTTACGAGACATCTATCTATAAGAGTTTGAAGCTCAGCTAGACCAGAATAACCACATCCATCTAGTATAGTGATTACGTACTCCTTGTCCATACCCACAAAAAAGCAAGCAATATCAAGGAATGAATTTCTGTACTGATCATCTGGTAAATGTTGGTAGCTTATTTGAAGTTTCTGCTGGATTTCGCTGTCTGAATTACTTCAAATCTGTCTAATGTACTTCTCCATACATCCTCCTCCATGTTTCGTAGAGCAGCACCTAAAACTTCAAGGGCCAAAGGAAGCCCTCCGCATTGTTTCACAATCTTTTTAGAGTACTCCATGTAACCTTCAATAGGACGATGTTGCCCAAATGCATGCCAACTAAGGAGCTCAAGTGATTCATCATCACGCAGTATTTGAACATCCATAATCTCAACTTTATAAGACCTCAGTAATCGCATATTTGTGGTTGTAATGAGAATTTTACTTCCTGGGTGAAAAAACTTGTGCATATTAAGAATTGCATCCAGTTGATCTTTTTCGTCCACATCATCCATAACTACAAGAACTTTACGAAAATGTAGGGCATCTTTTATCTCAATGATCCCTTGATGCACACTAGTTATTTTCCTCATTTTTCTCTTTTGAATATCTGAAAGAAGTTTTCTTTGCAATTGAACCAAGCCATCCCATTGTTTGGAGACTTTTTTAATATCTGCAAGAAAACTACTACCTTCAAATTTGTCAAAATTCAAATTATAAGCATATTGAGCAATGGTCGTTTTCCCTACTCCGCTAATCCCACAGATTGCCATTATGCCCACATGATCAGTTGACTCATTTTGCAACCACAAATTAATGTCTTTGACACGAGAATCAATTCCAGTTAGCTGAGATTCAACAAAAACGTCACGATTCACTTTATATTCAAGAACTTTCACAATCTCCTCGATGAATTCTAATTCATACCTACAAATGATTGTAATGAAGTAAAAATTAAATAGAACATACATGTCATAAAATAAAAGTAAATGGCAATATCAAGTGCATGCAGCAAACAAGCAACAAAGGTGTCATGTAGTGAACAATATGAAAATTCTGACAATATTTATAAAATAGAAGGATAACACAATTTATAGTTTTATACCATGTGCTTTGCTTTCCTTTCTTATTAACATTTTTTATAAATTTGTCAAGTTTGATTAGATCATTAAGCAATTGCAATACTATCAGAACATGATGAATGCACATAATACAACACCATAATATCACGTATACCTATATATACATACATATAATAAAACATATCTGATTTTGAATACTAATGGCTGAAATTCATTCAATCCAATGACTCAAAATCATCCCCAAAAAGTTTCCCGCTAAACTTGAAAACCCCACTCAACCTATATATTTTCACGCTAACTAAGGTCAGAATCTGTCTTCTCTCTCATTTCTCTTTCTTCTATCTAGCTTTTTAAATTTTATCTCTCACATATTTTTTTTCGTCTATTTCTATCACATTTCTAATTTATATTACAAGTTTAATCATAAAATTTTTGATTAATTTGTGGCTTAATATAATTTTTATTTGAGGCATTGTTCATATATGATAATATACACATATTGATTTTTTTTTTAGATAAAAAAATTGTCAATTTTTTTTAAAAAATAATAGGTACAAATTAATTTAAAATTATGTAATTAAAGAAAGGGAAAAAAATACTATTTGATACAATAAGACCGATTGTTTGGATGCTCAATTTTTATATTGTATCGTACATTCCGATATAAGTTATGAATAGTATGTATGTATATATATATATATATATATATATATATATATATACTTCTTATAAATTTAGAAAAGCAAAAATGAAACCCGAAAGTTCACAAAAGTTGTTGTTGTCTAGTTAAAATCCCTAAAAACAAATTTGTTATTCATAATATGTTTAGTCTTGCCATTTTTAACAACTTATTTTGCTCACCAGAGAATTTGAAAGCGAGGGTGCAGCGAGAGAGGGGAGATTAACTGCTTTTTCATTGCTTTCTCAAAACATCATAATTTTTTTCAAAACATAACCAACTGATAAGCAAGAAAAGGCTTTGTCAGTAATTACCCATCGACTTTGTTGCTTAAGACATCCCCTATTAGATCTGCAGCTTCTCGAAGTGCTTCCCTCCATACTTTGACCTTTTTCCTCCACTCCTCCTTTTTTTTTTCATCCTTTTCTTCCTCGATTATCTAACAAATGATTCTGCAAAACTTCCTGTTTGTTTTCTGACATGGGTTGGATCCACATCGTAGAAGATAGGGAGAACAAAATGTGTTGAGGTCCTTCTACGATTGAGGATTATCACTACCTCATCAAGGCACCAAGTGGAAGAAGCGTAGTCTTTTGAGAAGATAATTACCGAACTCCTTGACAGTTGGATTCCTTTTTTTATTTCTGGATCAAGAAGTTCTCCTTTTTCTGCATCGTTTTCATCTCTGAACGTGCGAAAACCTGCATTTTTTAAAGCTCTATAGAGGTAATTCGTGAATCCCTTGCGGGTATCTTCACCTCTGAAACTCAAGAACACATGATATCCACATGGAGACGAAGAAGAGGAGGCTCCTTGAGCTCTAGATCTAGAAGCAGCCATATATATATGTATATATATATAGAACAAAGCACTTCGTAGATATCAAAC